CATTTTTTTAATTTGTATATTTTTTATACTTCCTCTCACTCCTATGAATTATTTAATGTTAAATGAAAACCCATTTTTGAGTAGCCTAATTTATAAATATTGTACTCTACCTTAAGATTTAATAACTATTAATTCAATTCTATAAATATTCCTATAGTTGACATCAAAATTAATGATGCAGGGAAATTAATTCTTCATATGTAGAATTAATTCTACAACTAGTTGATAATTCTACAATTTTAGAATTAAAAATAAATTCAGCTTTATTTTATAATAAGTAAGAGATGCAAGAAAAAATATAGTAAGAACAAAGTGTGGTTTAAAATGCTTATTAGATTATGATCATGCGCAAATTACAAGCAGTATTGGTATCAAGAATGAATTTTCTCTACTGGTTAAAATTGGTGATTAAATTTAAATTTTTCTATTGGTCAAACAGATTGAAAATTAAAACAATATAAATTTCCAAATTGGTAATTAAATTTAAATTTTTCTATTGATCAGACAGATCGAAAATCAAAACAATATAAATTTCCAAATTGGTCAAGAACGAATTTTTTTCTATTGGTCAGATAATGATAAATCAAATCAAATCAAAAAAACAAATTGGTTAACATTAAGAAAATCGGGATATTTAAATGATTGATAAGAATTTAATATCAAAAGTGGATATTATATATGATAAAGCTAAATTAATTTTGACTCAACTATTGGAATTTTGGGAAAACTATCTAAAATTTTTATGAGTTCTTTGAAGCTTTTATACAATATTTAAGCAGACCAAAACATGTATATAAATACTGGTGAATGTAGTGAAACTGCAGAATATACAACATTAGAGCAGATGGGTTCGCTTTTTTAACAGTGGTTGACATTTTAACAATGAGTAGTTATACGACTTAGTAGTAGGTATTTTCATGATTTGTTAGGTTATAATTTAATTGCTAAGTATTCTGAAAATAGTTTTTTTTGAATACTGCGCATACTAGAATACTCGATTACTCGATTACCTTAGCACATTGATTAAAGATCAATGTGCTAAGGTAATTGAGTATTCGAATATTCTAATATTTGCAATACAGTATTCACCAAAAATGTTTCTATTTGCCATGCCTATGTATTAATTAAAAAGTCCACTATATTTTTTTTAATTAATACAATTTACACCAAGAATAATATATACTACCAAGAGAACTAACACTTATTAACCCTCAGAATCAGTTATTTAACACAATTACAAGTTCTAAAATAATCATTTTTCAATTGCAAGCTCTTATATAACTAATTGAATAAAGTTTATATTATGGTTACTTTAGAACTTATAATTGTCAAGTGGCCAACTCTGGAAAGGATTATATTTACATAATACTGTAAATATCAGTTCCCTTAGACAATCATCCACAAATGAATGAGAAAAAATGCATCCATTGATTATTCTGTTTTTTTTTTAACATTTCAAAATTGTATTTAACTATTACTGTAGATAACAATAAAAATTAGAATTAGCGTGTCCAGAATTCAGAGATGTATAAATCTGCTCACTATAAAAATTTTTTTTTTTGTATTGTCTCAGTAAGGTAAAAACAAAATACAATACAAAAAATTTTTTTAGATCAAACAGATTTATGCACTCAAGAATTCTGGCACTCAAAATCTACAGTAATTGTTTGTACTTTTTTGACTTTGCATTTTTGTTCATGGTGATTGTTTAATTGATGCTAATTGTTTGATGTTTTAAAGTAATCAAAAAAAATTCATACATGTTTTTTGTTCTTGTCTAAAATATATAAATATAGTTCAAATACTTTGGATTCTTTTTCACTTTAAGAAACCTCATTTTAGTAAAAATGTCTTTATACAAAGCAGAAGAGTCAGAATTTAGGAACCAATATCTATGTAACACACCTCTTACTAAAATTCGTCAAAATAATATTCAACCTATTAATCATGTTAACGAGATTCAACCTGATTTATCACATATTAACCAGCACTAGCATCTATTACACTGTCATCAAAATTTCCAATCTGATTCTAATTACCAGAATCATATCGATAATGATCTATCTATTGAACAATTAATTAATGCTTTTACCCGGCTCAACATAAATGAAAACAGCAGCAACCATGTGATTGAAAATAACAACAACCAAAATCATGAAGATTTCAATAATGATCATGTCCACCAAAATCATTTGTGTCAAGAAATCATTAATCCAAATTGTACAGTAGCACGTGTCAGCATAATGGTTATTAATCAAACACATTCAAAGCTTCATACTTTTATTTTAGTTTTTATGTATTTTATTTTAATCCTTTTATTCATAGCAATTGCTGTAAATATTGATAAAAATGTGAATTTTTCTTTTATATACAAGTAATGAATCAATTTATTTCATTAAGTAATTTAATTTATGTTGTAATTAATTATTTTTCAAATAGGTATTTGATTAATTAATTTCAAGTTTGTTCTTTTTTTAATTTGAATACATTTTTATCTCACTTTATTGTCCCTTATTGATAGTTCTTTATCAGATTTTGTAGTTCTTTTGTTACTTTAGTAGTGAGTATTTCACTGTTTTGGTAGTGGTTCTTCTGTAACTTTAGTAGTGTTACTTTGTAGAAGTTTTTTTTGTCGCTTTAGAGATAATATTTTATCTTTTGTCATTTTGTTAATTGTTTTATTGTATTAGTGGTTTATTTTTTGCTTCTATTTCTTTTTTGATTTTTATTTATTTGTGTTCTGTTTATGCAAATATTAAGATAACAATAAAATATTGTCATATCAAATAAATAAATTTTTGAGAAGGCATCTCATAAAATTTTTTTTAACTCTGACAGAAGAAACTTTAGCAACTACTTATAAAGCATCTATCAAAATAAAAGGGATAACAAATACATTTTGCAAATTCTGTATTTATTTAATATATTTATTAGATTAATTTATTATATAACCCAATTACTCTGTATATTCTGTAAATTTTTTTTATTATTTTTGTAACTATTTTTCCATAGGGATAAATGGTGTAATGTTTATTAATAAGTTGTAATTAAAATAGCAACAATAGAAATTTCTTAAATAAACTGTGTGCTTGGCTCTAAATATGTATGATAAATGGTGTAATTTAATTTGGTTTGTTAATAAGTTCTCTATATGGCTTCATAAAAATAACAGATCATGTAAATTTCTTTATTGCAATGGATATTGTCAAGTTTTAATTGATCAGTTAGATTTATCCTTTACAGAATATTAATAGCCCAAAAATTTATAATCTATTCTGGGCTATTAAATTAAAATAGTACATATAAAATTAATTTCAAAATGTCCGTAAATTTGCTCAATAATGATATAGTACCAATGAATTTAAAAATCTAAATTCAAAATAGTAACATTCATTCACCACCAAAAAATATATTCTGAATATAAAATATATACTATTCATAACTTAAATAATTGGACTCAACAGCAAGACTAATTAGACAAATGCTAGAGCTAGTTAAAAAATATTTAAGCTAGTAACAACACTGTATATCGATATTTCTTTATTATAATCAAGACAAAAGCTGGAAAATTCCTATTTAGATCAGAGTACTTTTATCAATATTATCTATATAAATATAATCTAGTTATTTATTTTCTTATGGGTAATCTCTTTTTATTTGATGAAAATATATGATAAAATTAAGTAATTCTATTTAGACAATGTTAACTGCATATATGTATTCATCATTATCTTCCGAATTGTCTATTATTTTTTCTCTATATACAGTCTCGCTACCTTCATCTGAAACAACAATTATAACTTTTTTTTCAGAGTTTTTTTCTGTTTTAAAAAATTTCTTGGAAGTTTTATATATTCTTCTAAAGAATTTAATATCTTTTCTCACTATTAATACAAGAACCATGTCAATGTTTCTGACATTAGTTTTAAACTTTAAAATGTCTTTCCTGCTAATTATTGAATTATTAGAAAAGAAAAACATGACTATGTGCGATAAAACCATGATAAGAATAGTGTTGAAAATTGAGCAATTATAGGAGGTGTGCAATAGATAGCATATTCGAAAAATAATTGGCAAATAGATAAGAAAATAACCAAAAAAAAGCAACGTTTATGAATAATATTTGGAGGTTTGTTAAAAAAAGGAGTAAGAAGCATCTGAATTATCAGATTTCTTTCTTTAGAAGAATTTAAGTTTTCATCAGATTTCTCATAAATAGAAGAATAACAAGAAAGATGATATGATATTGCTAAGTAAAAAGTTAAAATGAAATAGATTACATCTATTAAAAATTTTAGTGAATCCTTTATCATAAACTCTTTTATGTTATGATGATTATAGTAAGGATTTATAATATCAAAATAAAAAATCATGATAGAATGTATGAAATAAATCCAAACTGAAGCAAATCGGAAATATTCTAATAATCTTTGGATTGCTTCCTGTGATTTACAATTATCTTCTTGATTGCTCAGTCCAAATCTATAATAATAATACCAAATAAAAACAATGGTTGCAAGAATTACCACAAAGAACAATATTATCAGAGCTATATACACCTTATCGTTGTCTATATTATATAAAACGATCGGTTTGGTAATAAAATACCAAAAAAAGATTGGAGAAAAAGAAGACAAGATGATAACCACATCATCTAAAAAAAAGGTCACTCTAATATCAGACTTGAATGTTGCACCAAAAATGGTCACGTTAAATATAAAACTTGCGTAAGTAATCAGATGTCTTAGTTGAGAGAATGAATTATCATATAGTTTATAATTACTACTAACATGTCAACAAGTATCTGATTGTTAAAACATCTAGAAGGATATTTTTAAGCTAGGTTAATTGTGTTATTATTGTTCCTATTTATCGTGCTCTTGTAGAATTCAAAAAAAAAGCAAGATGATAATAAATTTTACTAAATTTTTGGATTGATTACTCTTTCTTATAAGCAATTATTGAAAGAGTAAAATTTGAAAAGAGTGTATTAATAATTAATGCCAATTTCAGATGATTTGAGTCAAAATAACTTGGGACATTATGATTCCAAAGAATTTATTATAGTAAGGTTTGAGAAACACTTATATAACTTTTCACTGCAATTCCAAAAAACTTTTTTGAGTATACCTGTATATATTGTATACTGGGACTACCTAGGGATGCATGTACATACATTGATCAAAGTGTATATGAACTATTAATTGTTAATTATACAATTGTCAGTTGCAAAACATTATTGTCGATCCAAATTAAGTATTTTAACATTGTTAGATATTATAAAGTTTGTCATTATCTATTTTATTTAAATTAGAAAGGAGTCTTATATAAGGGACATAATTAATATTTAAGTATTCTAAAAATTGCATTACTATTTTGTTAGATAATTTACTTGTACTAAGCATTGAGAGAAATTTGGAATTAAGTTGTAGGCGCTTCACACATCTAGACTTAATACAAATGAAATAAACCAAGACAATGCTTAAAATGGATCAACTAAGTGCTGCTAAGGAAAATGAAGTTCTAAACTTTAAAATTTTATAATTTATAATTATTATTATCGAAATCATATTCACATAACATAGTTATAAATAAACTTTTATCAAATTGTTAATCCAAATTAATAGCTTATAAGATATCTTTATTTTATATTATAATCAACTATGCCACAAATTTAGAAATCATTTAAATTAAAATTCCTGACCTAATTGTTCTATGTTATTAAGATCAATTGAGAGAATAAAACTAAAAATTTGGACCCTAGTATTCAGTTTCAATTGAATGGATTTGTTAGAAAAAAATCAAATTAATATTTTTACTCCAAATTTCAGAATATGCAAAGCAACTGATTACCATTTACTGTTATTTAATATTTTACTAAAAATTATAGATGCAACCTGCTATCTATTAGATATTATCCAATGTATAACAGATCACATCTCTAAAGAGCATTAGTAAGATCAATTAATGAGAGTGATAAGATGGGCCCGAAATTCAAAAAAGGAAATTACAACCTTGATTTTTATTCTTTCTGTACTTCAAGATATAAAGATCATTATCACATTTTTTCGCAATTATTGAAATTATTAACATATTCGGCTACGTCCGAAATATTTATGAAACAGTAAATAGCTCTGCATATGAATAATAATACTAATTGCTGTGAAGCAATTCAGTTAATAATTCAGCCGTGTGAATAATGAATTGACAAGATCCAATAATGTCTTGCTTCTAATTGTCAATTTCCCAATACAATTTCATAATTTGAATAAATTTGCATAGTTTGAAGTATCACAAAATTTTTTAAAATAATTTAAATACTTATTTAAAAGGAAATATTTAAATCTAAAATATTTTACATGATTGATAATCAATTGAACTTTGATTACTACTTTATTGTGCTTTGCAAATTTCTGAACTTGAAAGACTTAAAGAACAAGGAACCCAGTAATCACATCATGTGAAATCATAAAATTACATCATTTGTTTACTAGCACAAACAAATCAGCATAAATTATATTAAACTTAGGTCGAGCAAATAATTATAAAATGATCATGATTGCGATTGCTAATGCTGGCAAATCGACCAGCTTTAGCAATCGCAATCACAACATTAGTATAAGTAACGAACATACGAGAAAAATGCATCTATTGATTAAAGTATCTTTTTTGACACTTCAAAATTGGCATTTAACCATTACTGTAGATAACAATAAGAATTAGTGTTCACAATCCTGTAGTGCATAAATCTGTTCACTATAAAAATACTTTTTGTATTGTCTCAGTAAGATAATCGTAACTTTCATCATTTGTTAAGAACCAATATAATACAAAAACTACTGTAATAATTTAAAATAGTTTAAAATACAAAATTTGAAGTGTTAAAAAAGAATGGTATTGTCATAATAAATGGCTTTTATTTTTTAATAGGTATACAGAAGAATATCTTTTTTGACTTTTTTCATATTTTTGTTCATGGTGATTGTTTAATTGTTGTGATAATTGTTGGATGTTTTAAAGTAATCAAAAATATTTCACATGATTTTGAAACAAATTAAAGAGTATCCAGGAGACTATGATGCATAAATCTGCTTACTCTAAAACTATTTTTGCCTATTGTATTCATAAGATAAACATGACTTTAATCATTTTTTAAAATCACACAATACAAGAAAATATTTTAGAGTGAACTCACTTAAGAAATTTGCTTCTTATGCATAGCTTTTTGTTCTTGCCACTATATATAACCATAGTTCAAATTGCTTTAGACTCTTCACTTTGAGAATCTAAAAAAAAGTGATTAAACAATGTCTTGATACTCAATCATAAATTTTGAAATCTTATCATCATAATGGGTCACAAAATTAGAATCTGCAATATAAAAGATATTTTAATAAATGAAAATTACAATAAATATTGTTGTCTACATTTTACAACTCAACCTCTTAGTTCATTGATTCAAAAAAATACTTGTTTTTCTAATCAATCAGATAATGTTTATAATGAATTAATAAGAATTAAAGAAGCTGAAGAATATAGCAATGATTTTTTTGTGGCAGCACAGAGATTTATTAATAATATAAAATTTATTTTATTATTTTTTTTATTATTTATCAAGCTGGTAATGATTCATCAAGAAACTGATAATCTTTAATTTATATTCTTATAATAGAAAATCAGCTGGCCAACAAAAAAGGATCCAGAAGATCCTTAATGAGTTCTCTTGAAGAAATTACAATCGAGAATTATGAATAGCATTCTTCAGAAACCCAATCCTTTGATCAATCTTTAGTTGCTTCCTTAAATAATGGACAAAATTTAGATATTGAATCTGTAATAGAACAAGAACAACATAAATTAGTATTATTAGAAGCAACAACAGATTTAGCTTCTTCAATTACCATTTGTCAAAAACATCCATCAAAATGGCCAGTAATAATGCCAACCCAGCAATAAGAACAAAATATATATATAATAACTAATGGCAAAAATAATTGAAATTGGAAAAATACATTTAAAAACAATTAGCAGTTTATTACTGCTATTTTTGCACTAACAATAATCTGTATATTTCTTATAAAGGTAATTAATAACATTAATTGAATTAATTATCTTTGTTAATTCATTTTTTTAAAGACTTTTTTATTAATAATTTTTATTTAAATAGAATATTATTAACACCACCAATAGTGTCTGGCAAAATAATATTGAGAATTCCAATTACATCTGGCAATACATAAGTATATCTTATAAAATTTTGGTGATATTGAATTAAATTAATTCTTACCATATTCTTACCATATTATTACATAACTAGTTATATGATAAATTATACGAAATGTTGGAAAATACATTTTTCAAACATGTAAGTATTCTTAAAATCTTATTAACATTAATATTTAAACAAACATTTTAAACAATATACTATATTGTATAGATTGAAATGATAAAGCACCTTTATATTGAAGATACAAGAAGATATCAAAGGACCAAATTTGCTTATGAAGAGGTTAAAGCTAAAAATAGAGAACTCGAAACAAAAATTACGATTACTGAAAAAGAACTCATGAGAAGTGAACAAAAGCTGAAATTAGAGAAAGAAAAAAATGATAATCTTCAATTAAATCTCAAGATTACCAAAGAAAAACTTAAAGCCACCCAAGACAGCAATATAGGCTTTACTATTGAACTTACTACTACCAAAAAAGAACTAAAATCCACACAAGATTGTAACATTAACCTTCAAACAAAACTCACTACTACTGAAAAAAAACTAAAAGCTGCCCAAGATAGCAATATAAACTTTACAATAGAACTCACTACTATCAGAAAAGAACTTAAAGCCACATAAGATAGTAATACTAATCTTCAAACAAAAATCACTACTACTGAAAGGGAACTAAAAGAATCACAAACAAAAATTAAAACCCTTACCAAAAAAATTGAATTGCTTAAAAAAGACATTAAAATATTAAATAAACAGAGAATAAAAGACAAAGAAAGAAAACAAGTAATTAGGAAATTGAAACAAGCTTATAAAGAACTACAAGAAACTTGTAACAAAATAAAACAAGAAAAGATTGAAGAAGAGACAAAAAAACATCAAGAAATATTAGAAAAAGTGAAGAAAACTTTAAATGATAATGAATGTTAAATTTATAATGAATACTAAATTTGTATATACTTTAATGCTAATAATAGTTAATAATTAATAAAAACATTAATAAAACTAAACTATGATTATTGTCAGATAACTGCATAGATTAATTATAACTAAAATATTCAATCAGAATGTTTGCATAACTATGACCCTATTAAGCAAATCATCTTTTGTAATGTCTATTAATTTTTCTTTTATGTTGACAATGTTGACAAGACATTCAAGTACTATCAAATGTTGGTAATACAATTATATCAACATCGTCACTGATATTTCTATTGGTGAATACCAAGTGAGAAAAGTGCAGAATCCAGAATCTATAGTGGTTACATAAATGCAATCTGCTGTAAACTCAAGAATCTAACGTTACTTTTCCTTCTTTGTTTGGCTAACTGTCATCTTTTCATCAGTGTTCGCAATGAAATTGTGACTTTACTCCATTAGATTTATGTCATAAATACTTTGGATACTATATAAGAGCTGTAAATAAAAACGAGTAGCTCACGACAATATTGAGCTCAGATTGTCATAGTCTATTGTTTATTCTACATAAAAATAATAGTACAGTTAGGGATTTTACCATAAATGGATATTGAAGATCGCACCTTTTATAGTATAAGGATGTCGATCAGAAGGTTCTAGATTTCATAGCACATGAACATCAACCAATCAAATTAAT